GAAAGAAATGGTAACAAGTGGCTGCTAAATAGAAACTGAAGCTTAGAGAAAAAGAGGTGTCTGGAGAATTTTCAGTGGGATGGCGGGAGTAGAAGCAGTCCTCTTTTCTACATAAATACGCTACCAGTTTATATAATAGTTCAGGTTTCCCTATCACACGGTCTCAAAGACAAAAACCCTCATGAACGGCGGGGTCTCCCATTCGCACTCCTGAGAGTGCGGGAAAATCACTCCCTGAGGGTGTCGGAGGCTGTGAGGAGGATCATCCAGGCTGGACCATTTCTCAGCTCATAACTCAAAACCCACTCACCAGTTCCACCACACTCCAGTTTTAACCTTTAAATACCTTTAAATAAAAAGGTCTTTATTATTCTTAGATCATGCCTTGTAAATACCTTTAACCCACTCACCAGTTCCACCACACTCCAGTTTTAACCTTTAAATACCTTTAAATAAAAAGGTCTTTATTATTCTTAGATCATGCCTTGTAGTAACTTTGCATCTAAGTTTCACATTTTCTATTAAGTATCTTTCACCTACATGTTGAACCTTTTTTAGAAAACTCTGACCATAGTGCATGCACCCTGAAGACAAGCCACCACCACGAGCACCTCAGACACAGCTTTAGAGACTGCAGTTACTAACTATACCTTTTGTCCTGCGATCACAACACGATCCCCCAACTTGAGGCCGAGAGATGTCAGCATTGCCTTGCTAGTCATGTGCTCATAACTTGCAAGCATGGCCTTTGAGATGCTGCAGGACAGAGGCGCGGCATCGAGTAGCATCTGCTTAATTTCCTTGGCAGTTGCCGCGGCGTCGGCCATTTCTAGCGGCATGTCTACTGGGTCTGGGACGACATCAGCAGGGATCTGCCCTTTGTCGTTCTACAAACAAATATGAGAGAAAATTTCCAACTCTTATATACTTATAGCAACAGACAGTCACATAAAATTTTTGTTGGAGGAATTTTAAGCTAAATTCATTCATAGTTTATTTATTCAAAAACTATTTCCTTAACACCTACAACATGCCAGGTACCATCCTAGGTGAAGATACCGCAGGCTTAAAAAGCTCTGCTCACAAAGAGCTCACATTCTGGTGGGAGATACAAACCTTAAAAAATACAACAATTATATGGTATAATAAATGGTAATAACTGGCGTGGAGAGGGGAGGAAGGCAGGGAAGGGGAATAGCAAGCAGGGACAGAGGTGGTTACAGGGGGAGCTACTTATATAGGCTCAC